AAAAATGACAACATAATGCCATTTGTAGCAACATGGATGCCCCTGGAGAATGTCATTCTAAGTGAAGTAAGCCAGAAAGAGAAAGAAAAATACCATATGATATCACTCATATGTGGACTCTAAAAAAAAGAAGACAAATGAACTTAAATATAAAACAGAAACAGACTCATAGACATAGAATACAAATTTATGGTTGCCAGGGGGGAGGGGGGTGGGAAGCAACAGAGTAGGAGATCGAAATTTGTAGATACTGACAGGTATATATAGAACAGTTAAACAAGCTTATACTGTATAGCACAGGGAAATATATACAAGACTGTGTGGTAGCTCACGGTGAAAAAGAATGTGAAAATGAATATATGTATATTCATGTATGACTGAAAAATTGTGCTCTACCCCGGAAATTGATAATGTAAACTAACCATAACTCAATTAAAAAAAAATGACTTACATTTCTAAGGGTTTGCTTTTAATCTTTCTCGTTTTGCTCCACCTAGCAGTTTCCTTATCTGTAAAATAGGCTTAATAATAGTACGTATTTCACAGGGTTATTACAAAAATTGAATGAATTAATATTTGTAAAATGTTTACAACAGGGCCTGGCACATAGTGAGTACTATTTAAGTGTTAGCTATTATTTTTATTATTATTAGGTTAGATCAGCTTTATTAACTATAAATATATTTTTAGATTTGTCTTCTTTCTACTTGATCTGTCAAGAACTAACAGAAATGTGGTAAAATCTCACTGTACTATTACACTGTTACCACTTTTTTCTATTTTTGTTTTATGTAAGTGCTATGAAATCCCAAGCAAATATATTCATAATAGTTGTATTTTTATTATAGGTTGGACCCTCTTTGTTTTCCCTCCAGGCTTTTACCTTGTTTAACATTAACAAACAAAAACACTCCGATTTTTGTCATTGTTTGCATCTGCCTGCTGTATCTTATTATTTCACTTTTAATATTTCTGAGTCACAGTGTTTCAGGCTTGTCATTTGAGAGCGTATAGCTAAAGAGTTTTTTCCCCAGCCCATTTATAGTCCTTTTCTTTTAAAAGATGAATTTTATCCAGTTACATTTATTATTTAAACACGTTTGATCTTGCCTTTGCCATATTACTTTCTGTTTCCTGATTCAGTGCTTCCTTGTTCCTACCTTTGTTCCTATCTTTTGCTGTAAAAATCTCTGTTCTTAAAAAATTTCCCCTTTAGCAATTTGGAAGTGATATAGTCTGCTTTCAGTTAAACAAGTTTATAACTTTAAATAGCATACTGAGATTTCTTTTTCTCAATATATCATTAATGTGGGTTTTTTTTTTTTAACAGTGCTTGGCTGTCTACCCTGATTACAGTCACCACTCACTTGCCAAAACTCCTCCTCACTTATGCTAGGCTGAGCTTTTCCTCCACAGCCTAGACTAAATGGCTCTGGCTGCCCTTGTTTGTGGCTGTTTAAAAACAAAACTCGTTAACATATTGTCAAATCCTCCTTCTCTGAAACCTACAGAGATTTGGCTCTAGCTGCCAACGGTAAAACAGCATGTAGCCTGCAAGCCATGGCTCTAGGCCCATTCTGGGACGGGGCAGGGCAGCACAGGGTGGGGTGGGAGGCCCAGAGATTTAGCAGTGACAGTGCAGGGCCTCCCCATGGCCTCCCCCACAGGAGGCAGCACGGGCTGCAGGCACACAGCCTGGGATCCGAGTGGCCCTCTCCCTCTCCCGAGCCCAAAGCATTCCTCATTAGGTGGTCACGCACGAACGCCTCAGCTCCCCAACAAAATCAGATCCTTGCTTCATCTGGGCCAGTTAAATGTCTGTTTCTTCTACCTTCTTGATCACCCCTCTCCCTGTTCACCAGCACTTTCCACAACCCTCTCCAGGGCTGTTCCACCTCCTCCAGAAGGGGTTCTGAGAGGTCAGAGCAGAGTGCTTGGGAGCGAGATGGGGCAGGTTCTCCTCCACCTGGGCTTAGATTCCCCAGGTGCACCCCAAACCTCCCTGCTCTCCAGCGTCCATCTCCATCTTTATCTGCTTCTACCAGGGAAGCTTCCTGACTGTCCCAGTCCCCCTTGGCCTCCCATCACCCTGCGTCATCCACTCCATTCTTGCTCAGCTCTCTTGAGCTGAATCTGGTTTCCTCGACTAGACAGGGAGAGAGCCTCTGAAGCCAGAGCCGGTGTCTCCTCCTCCTATTGCTTCTCCGTGGCTCACAGGACTAGTAGATACAAGGAAGGCTTAGAAAAGATCGACTGAACAAATGGAAAGTCAAGACAAAAAACTCTGGAATCTGACTGTCGGGGTTCAAAGGGCACATCTGCTGCTTGTGAGTGGTGGAGCTTTGGGCAAGTTACTTAATGTTTTTACAAAGGGCTGTTGTGGGGATTAAATGTGATAATGTGTGAACTACATCGCTTGGCACCTTGCCCCAGAAGACACAGAATGAGTGGAGCTCCCAGTGTAATATCAACCAGCATTGTTAACTGCACTGAACCAGTCTGACGGAGCACCTGATGCTGTGTGCGGGTGGGTGTGTCACCAGAGCTTGGGTGTGGATGGCTGGCGACCTGTGACCTGTGGCAGCTGTGATCTGGGCAAATCAGTTCCCTTTGTGGAACAAGGGGGCCTGGACAAATGCCCTCTGTGAGCCCTTCCTGCTCTGACCTCCCTGTGTGCTGTGGGTGTTGAGAGTTTGTGAGTTGATCCCTGATCTGGGGCCCTAGGGGAATGCATTTTCAGCAGAGGTCCTGCTCCAGTTTCTGACTTGGCTTTCCAGCTGGAGACCTCCTTTCTCCGCCCTCCCCTGCTCCTCCAACCCTCCCTGCCCAACCCTGTATCCCCAGGAGGGTACCAGTGCTCCACTGCTGAGCAGGATCATGAAGATGATGAACGTCTCGAACCAGCTGTGCTCCACGATGCGGTAACAGGTCTTGCGCAGCCTCCACCAGACCTTCCCTGGGGACTGTGTGGTGTCCACAGCACAGCAGGGACAGCGCCGGACACAGCCTGGGAGAGGGAGAGGGAGAGGGGTCAGGCCCAGCCCACAGCCTGCGAATGCTCACATCTGATGGCAAAAAGCTAGCTGGCTGAAGGAATGACTGAAAGAGGTTATAAGGATGGGTAATGAACTTGGTGATGTGGTGGGTGGGGCTGTGATGGCGGGCAGGGAGAAGGTGACTGCAGGTGTCGTCCTCAGGGGCCACACTCAGCAGGCATGCCGTGGAGAGGCCTGATGAGCCAGGCAACCAGTAGGTAGACAAAGGGCCTGGCAGGTCCGGGCAGGGGCAGAGCTGGGTTTGGGGTGGGCTCCACCTTGCCCTCTGCTCATCTGAGAAACTCTCCTCCTGGGAGGATGTTCCAGATCCCCCTAGGGTGCTCTGTCCCTGGGCCTTGTCCATGTTTGCAGTTTCTGAGCCTTGGGAAGGGCAGATCCCTCACTGACAGACCCACGTGACGTGTTACGTGAAGGGCAAACTCATTTTATCGCCAGCAACCCTCCAAATATACCACTGATCCATAAAAGCTCCAGACGCCAATCACCAATGTGCTACATGCCACACCCACCGTGAGGATCTACAGAGGGCCTACTATGTGCCAGGCACTGTGCCAGGGACTGAGAGGACAGAGAGAATCGGACCCAGTCCCTGCTGCTGTGGGGGCAGGCAGTCATACTACCGCCCCCAAAACTCTGCCACCAGCCCTCGGTGCAGCCAACCCACGGCTGCCCAGCCCAGCACGTCGTGGACAGGCTCGCCATGACCCACGTCACTGGCAGACGGAAGGGCCCCAGGGTCACGAGGAATGGGGACGGGACGGCTGGCACTGGGCTCAGAGTGGGGCCTGATAAGGCCTGTGCTCCGGAGCTGTGGGTCCTCCTGCCCCTCCCAGAGGGGCTAAGGCTGGGACAGAAGGCCACCCAGGGCAGTACCTTCGGTGAAGCAGTCCTCTGGATCCTCGACGTCCTCGCCGAGGTCGGGGATCTGCTCCAGGAGGTCAGCAGTGTTGGTCATGTCGGCTGTGCTCCCCTCGGAGTGACTGTCCTCGGGCGTCTGTGGGCAGGACTGCGGGCATGAGCGCGGGCCGTGCAGCAGCCTCTAGCCTCGGGCCCAGAGTCTAGAGGAGCCTGGGGCTCCCTGAGGGGAGGTGTCCATTGTACACCTGGGGAATCTAAGCCCAGGTGGAGGAGAACCTGCCATGAAGGTCACCTAGGGCCAGTCAGGGATGAGCTGAGGCCAGAACTCAAGGCTCCTGGGTCTGTGATTCTGATCTGTTGGAGTCTAGGGCAGGGCTGCAGGGTTGGGAAGGGGTTCTGGGAAAACTCTGGGGATAAGGCAGGCATCCACGTGGAAATAAAGCAGACATGGGGCACAACATGGACGCACACTGGGACATGGACACACAGTGGCAGTTGGGCACATGCAGAGGGAACAGGCGTGCCACACCCAAACAGTCAGAAGCAGGGTCACAGGCACACAGGCACAAGGTCAGACACACAGAGGACAGGCCAGCAACCCAGCCCACATTTCTCGCCTGATTCATCTGGGTGCTGATGTGATGCACAGAGCCTAGAACAAGAGTGAGAAGGTGCTGGGACCTTCCCAGCCTCGCCAGGCAGGGTTCTGCCGCTCTGATCTTGCATAACCTGATTATAGAGTATGTGTGGGTGTCCTTATGAGTGTCCGCGTGTGTCACAGGTGGGCGCCAGCATACAGGGTGCGGTAGTTCAGCCTGGTCCCCCTCTTTGGGCCAGCACACCCATCTCTAGCTGCCATGAACACTGTTTAACACTGAACCCCTTCTCCAGAAAATTGTCTTTAGTCAGGGACCCGACATCCCTGGAAATGGCTTGGGGGTTACAACCCAAGCCTGGGGTAGCTGACACCCAGCGACCGAATGATCCGGAGGAGAGCAAGCTGAGGCTAGAAGCCAGCCAGACGCCGCCTGGAGCTGCTGCTTTTGCCTCATCCTGCTTCTCTGGCTTCCTTACAGGTCTCTCCTGAGAGCTCTCCCTCAGTGAATCACGTGCACAGGAAGCCAGGCTGAGGCTCTGCTTTTAGGGACCCACCTAATGACACATGTGGCAGGGGAGGGTGCTGTGAAGGAAGGGCAGCCTCCCTCTGCTTCGGATTCCGTCTACATCCCCCAGCTGTTGGCCACCTCATGCTGCTCAGGCTCCAGCTCCACTCTGGGGCACGCTGGCCTCCTTCCCTTTCCTTCGATGACTCGCGGTGGTCTCAAAGTCCTCTTTAACCTTGAGGTTTGTGATGAGGAAGGACTGGATTCCCGGGAGATGGTAGATGCTCCTGGGTACAAGGTGGCCCTGGGGGTCTCCGTGGTCCCCATGGCTTTGAGGGTCACGCCCTTCTCCCAGATTTGCTGTGAGGCACAGCCAGAGGGCTTCACATGGGCTTGCTTTCTTTTCTGACACAGGTGCTGCCTTAGGTGCGTGGGGCTGTCATGCGGGACAAGTTCTCAGGATCCCGCTGCAGGTGAGATGAGGGGGGTCCTTCTCCCAGACTGTCTCACTCTCCCTTTTACGGGTCCCACGGTGAACTGACCGCAAGAGGTGAAGAAGTTACAAAACTCATTCAAAGGTCAGCATTCTAGACCAGGAGCCCCTTCTGTTCGTGATGCTCTGCCCCTCTTGGGTATTCCTCTTCCCACGTGCCTTCGTGTGTCAGACCCTCCAGGGGAGACGCATGGCCTGCATAGTCCGGACAATGTCTCCATCACGACCTTGTGCGCCCAAACTGGCCATGCTCACAAAGCCTCCCGGGGGTCCACCCCATGAAAGGAACAAGGCGGAGGAGAAATGTTCTGCTGGAGCTGTCACAGCTGCAGGACCAAGGGCTGAGGTCCGGCTGCAGAACGAGGGCCCCTGGCGCTGTCTCTGAACACGTGGCCTCCATCTTCCCAGTGAGGTGGGATGTGGGGCGGGGGCAGTCAGCAGTGCCACTGCCCGGTTAGCTCAGGGGATGCAAACTCAAAGGGGGCCAGGCTGGAGATGGAATGAAGTCAGGCAGGTGGGGTCTGGCAAACTGGAGCGCTCTGGCCGGTGTCGAGAAGGCAGTTACCATTTGTCTCCAGCAGGGTGGCTCTTCTAATTTTTTTCAAGAGAAGCCAGAAATGCAGATTTTTTTTTTAAAAAAAACCACACAAAAGCT